GACGCACTGACACTCTGTGATAAAAAGCTTGTAGTTATCTAGTGAAAGCTTTTTCAAATTGTCCAACAATGTATGCCTTCTCTTTTGCGAATGTGATACTTTTGTACTTGAATGAGTTAAGAAATGTGAAATGTTAAAGAAAATATGTAAACGAATGAAATTAGCATTTTCATATATGATAGAATAATAGCTTGAAGATATCTAGAGAGAGCTTTTTCAAACTTCCCAACAATGCTAAAATTTGTTTTTATAACCAACTTGTTAACAATTTTAGATTTTTTGAAGTATTTAAATATGTTGTGATTCTCATATTTGATAACAAAATATTGAACCGGCGTAGAGATATTATCCAACTAAACCAAGCCGTGATAGTTTACATGACATTAACTCAGTAATGACCATATCAAACTGCTTTGGAATTGATTACCATTTACTTTCACGAGTGATGCTATAATATATATATATGCTCGAACACTTTACTCTAATCCGGATTGATCCAGTTGTTATGCTTTGTTTATTTTCCGGATCTTTCACAACTGGTTTCGGCTTAACTTTTTAATGACTTTCAAGATACTACTGCTCATACGAGACTGATTAAAGACACTGTCTGGACGAAATTTGAAAAGATAGTACCGAAATCTATCAACAGTGATGAAGCGTTCTTGCAAATTGCGTAGTGTTTATTTGATCCATAAAATAGGCAGTGTTCAAAGTTGTGTTTCTTTATATTTTTGTATCTTATATCACAGTTTGTATCGACCGAAAAGAGCAATTGACAATACATATCTCTCGCAAATGATATTACAATATTTTTTTTGAGGTGGACATTTTCGTATTATTGTATGGAAATATTTAATAGTGTTTATTTCAGTTCTTTTAGTTTTTTTTTTCTTCAGCTTAGGCCGCCAGTCTACAATACTTGTACAGGTTGACAATCTACATCAAAGTTTTAAAAAAATTGGATAAAACTGGTCATGATATTACATTGACTTGCGACAGAAAGTGTCTGGAAAGTGTCTGAAGGCAACTGGGAAAGGTTGAATATGAAGTATTTTACAATCAATGTAATGTGAGAAAGAAATTAACTCAATTTTTTTGAAAATCATTTGCACTGTGCACGCAATGATTATGACGCGCCACACACGACCGTATGACAGGTACATTATTTGTACACAACCTTTATTCAGCAAAATATCGTCATAATTGGAACATAAGGGCACTTTAAAACGCATTCGTTTTCGTAGGACCATTTCACTACTTGTTTAGGTGTTGTGGGGTAAGTCACTTGACTGTAGATGACAAGGTACGTTGTTCAAATCCCAACCCGACACTAATATCCTTTGGCAAGAGGTTAATTTACATTTTGCACTCTCCACCCTGGTGTTTTAATAGGTACCCGGTAGGATGAGAAGGTTAATATAGTTTGCTCACCATTGTAAGTATCTTTAAAATGGCGCCTCGCTGGAATACTCCACTCTCCAGGGGAGTGCATAAATTGTGTGCGGGCAAGCTTGAGGTCAGAATACTATCATTATAACTACAATATTCTTTCAAACTGATATGCAAAGAATGAAAAAGCGCACACACTCCATTTTTGCGGGTACTCGACGTACAATGTACTTTTGTAAATCGACTTTCCCGCCTTCATTTTAAAATAGTGGTGATCAGGGTTTAAAGATTGTCTCTTTTGTCATCATGCACACGTACTGCTAATGTGCTTGTGGGGACCCCCTACTATGTTTATTTACGTAGTACATCATACCCAGCTGGAGGTTAATATGTTTATATTTGTGCAGTACTCGCAATGATGGGATTATGATTTCATAAAAAGATCATTATAATACCGTGACTTTTAACATGTATGGCGTTCGTGCGGTGCAACATAATTAACCGCGTGACTTGGTATAGCGTGTACGGGATCCAACCTCGTTGTCAATACGATTGTTATCTGTGTATTAGGAGTCAATAAAGCATCGATGAAAATGGATGTTCATTATACTCTCTACCTGGCCCCGTTTCACAAAGCCTTTTTCAATGGAAAATGACAAAAATCAGTGACAAATTCACTAGCTTATACCGAAAACTGTCATTTACAAAGTTAATGATATTGCAATACAACAGTCTGACAGTGTAAAATGTCTCGGATTTATTATCGACAGCAAACTTAAGTGGGATGTCCATATTGATAAATTATGTAAGAGGGTTGGGAACCTAGTAACATATTTGGCTAGACTACGTTACTTTATTAATGAGACATTCACAAATTTGAACTTAATCTATAAAGCAATTATTTTACCCCCGTTACTAATAACAATTTTTGTGAAATGGGGCCATGGTTGTTTTCTTAATTACAAGCATACTCATGATTACTTAACCCTAATAAGGCCGGGGGGGGGCCATTATGGCCCCCCCCTCCACAATTTTTCTGATTGCTCGAGAACGCATATGGATGGCGCCCCGCCGCTCGCTGACTTTTTTCTTTCAAGCCTTGCGCAACTTTTCAAATAATTTTTTTGAAAATCGGACCTACGGTTACAAGGTCACGTGACCTTTTGTCCTTGCATGTCAGCCTGAAAATCGCTCATTTTCGTGATTTGTGTACAGAACGTATGGCAAAGTCATTTTTCCTAAAAACAGATCAAACATGGGTTATTGGGTCTTGATTAAAGTTTAGGTGGTTGTTTTGGGAGTCAAAATAGTTGAATTGTAGTAAAAGATGAAATAAAACAACAAAACAATGAAATACATAAGTTAAAAAAACAATGAAATACATAAGAAATTATCAAAACAAGGGATAACATAAGAAATAAGCTGGCTCTTCCAAATTATGTGTTGTATTATTATTCAGAATGGTCTAATGAATATATCTAGTGAAAAAGAATGCTTAAATATGAATAATATATGATTTATGGGTAAAAATGTGATTTTTATGACTTTATTTGCATAAATTACCATAAATATGCAAATGAGTGAATTTTTCAAAAAATTGAAATTATCATATTATTCTTTACACTTCACTTGACATGCGTACAAATTTTCGCGGCGATCGGCCGCTTCGCGGCCGAGATCTTAAGGGGGGGCCATAATGCCCCCCCCCCCCGGCCCTACTAAGACTTCAAATAGCCCGGCCCTATTAGGGTTAACAGTCAGGTAAAAAAAAAACACACAAACAAATGCACAGGAATGATTATATATTTTCGAGGATCCGTATGTATACCAAAAAATAGATGGAAGCTACTCTCGAAAAAACGGATTTCCCTTTTGGATATCTTTTGCTAATTTGGACTGGATTTAGCTATGAAGGAAGTGTTGAAGATTCAAGATTGATGAACATTCTTTTTCTTCCTGATAATCTTAATGAAAAGGAAATGAAATATGTATTGACAATGTAGGAAGGAAGCAGGGTAAGTTCACCCTGATATAGGTCGGTTTTCATAGAAGCAGACAAATGAGAGAAACAGGTCGATCAGTGAACCTTTGAGCAAAAAATGATTTAATAAGAAAGTTATTTTTTTGAAGGTGCGACTCTGTAACTGCGTGACGTGTCTTGCGAGGTACCTTCCCATGCCCTTTATATAAAAAAAAATACAACAAAATTAAATGTATAGTTTCCCTAGAACATTTCTAATCATACATTCAACCTTATTATAGAAGACAACTCGAGAAACAAAAGGAGAAGTGAGTTGGTCTAGAATTATTCTAGATCTAGCGGACTAAAGCCCCTGGGGCCAGCGATGCATTCAGATATATGCCTTTACCTGCAAACTGACTCGATCTGACGGACCAGGGTTCGAAACCGAGTCCATGACTTTAGGTTGGCTAAAGGTCTGTCCGAGGAGTAAATAATTAAGAATCCTTATTTATACACGTATATATATATATATATTTCGTAAATGTATTATACATGATGGTCAATTTGTAGTGGCATATTGGCACCGTGTGCATTGAGGACATCAACACTGGGCGGCAATTCTGGGGACTGGGGGGGGGGGGGGGTACTACTCTCCCACTCCCCTTTTCTTCCTCGTTTTGTCCTCAATTCATTGTGGAAAGCCGATGAGGTTCCGTTATACAGAGTTTGCAGGCACAGGCTCTATTTGAACATTAAACTACAATTTATACAGCCTTGGGTAGAGCCTAGCTCTGTCAATCGCCTATGCGGTATGCCGCCAACATAGTATCACGGTACAGACATGTTTACGCATATTATTATTATTATTAACTGACAATGGTTTGTGCATACAAACTATTTTTAGACGCGTATCCCTCGCATGGGTCTCCTCAACCATATTCATGCATCTCTGGAGCCTGGGAAAAAAACGGGAGACGATTACGTAAGAGTCTGTATGAGCGCATTGTTTTGGGGCGGGGCCCAACCATATCAATAACACAACGTCTGCCGCGTTATGTTTACACCTGCTCTATATTTGTTATCAAATAGTATACGTGATAATGAAATGTCCAATTTCTTGGCACTCTCTCACATTCTGTACACAAACTTGTTAAATACATAGGCCTACACATCCATCATCACCGTATTAATCTGCATTAAAATTAAATGATCTATCAGTTCTAAATTCTTAATCGAGATTCTATATCCCGCCAAATCAAAAAGCTGCCGCAGCGCAAGCCATGACCATTTGTATTATCCTTCTTGTCTGCAAACATTCGTGCTTACTATGCATGCTAGTCTTCTATTGTCAAACCTGATTATTAAAAGGTGAACGAAAGTAGGCCATATGTTATCTATCTTCTGTTCATTTTGTGAGGATAATATCAACCCTCTATGTTGAATAAGAAAATAATATATTAAAAAAGGGTCTATGAGCATTTTTTGTCAAATTAAACAACTATTTTTTTTTAGCGAAACCTGCTTGCTATCGATGAAACGCACGACAGCGATTGAGAAAGTAGACTACCATCAACCTTCCGCGTTCGTCAATGGAACCGGTTTAAACCAGTAAAATCCCGCCTGGTTCATTCGCCGTCGTTGGCATCCCATATTAGGCGATTGGCATTTTTACTACGAACCGGCTTCTTCTCTACCACGTTGCCGCTCTGTTTACAAACACAGGACATTGTATATGTACGTTCACTACCGCTCGGTTGGTGTTTCGAGGATTTTAGCCGTTTTGAAGGGAAAAAACTGCCTTTCTGTGTTTCTTCTAGTGGATAAGAAGCGAGGGATTCAAAAAGGTGAGTGAACGTTTTAACAAAAATGGTTAAAGGATACAATATAACTTCAGTGAGAGATGAAAGGGAGAATATATAATTATATGTTTATCAAAATGCCTCTAGTAGGTGTGGGGGGAAAGTCGGAGAGAGAGGAGAGAGAGAGAAAGCCGGTATATTGTAATGTGATTTTGACTGAGTCATGTGATCCGCTGACGCGGCAAAGAATAGGTGGTAATATATATATGTATATACAAATATTGTATACATATACATATATATTATACAATACTTGTATATACATATTTTTATCATCCTCAGGAATATACCAGAAAATGTAAAAAAATATGCAAAAAGTCGAATATTCTTTCATTTACTACTTTTTTGTTGTTGTAGTAAACATCATCACCCACAAATTCGGCCTGCTGAAGAAAAAAAAAATCTATATTGTAAAATTATTATGTTATTACAATCCTGTTCCTTTTATACCCTCATTTGGGGATATATATATTATATATCCACTGAAGAAGAAAACAAAAACATTTTACGGCTCTTTTGACTCTATAGGATATTAACGAATATGATATGTTATTGTCCCAAATCGGCCCCGTGTTTCAGTTGTTTTACGTTCGGCAGAAAACTGTTTTACAGCGTTTGTCAATATATTTCAGTGTTATATATATATTGGCCTATAACCTCTTGTGTTCATATAGGCTATACGTATAACGAAACATTTGTGCCGAGCAATAATGTTAAGTAACTAAGTTAAGCAAACAACAACATGATAAATATGGAAAAAGGCCTTACGGTGTGAGAGAGAGAGAGAGAGAGAGAGAGAGAAAATTAAAGCGTAAGAAAAGAAGAGACAGATGATTTAGAGGGAATAAAACACTTTCAATACAAATTACATTCCTTTAACTTTCTGTGTACCAAGAAAAGGGTTGAAAAAGTGGAAGATTCATAGTTTTTAAATAGAAGTATGTTGAAAATATATAACTTGTGGAAAAACATGCATGAAGTAGGTCCAACAAAAATCATGGAAAGCATTGAAAGGAGAATTGCTCCCTAGTATTAGGAATAGAAGCAAAAAATGAGAGAAACTAGTTAATAGTGAAACCCTGAGCAAAGACCCGATTAAACATGATCAGTGATATATATATATATCCCAATCTAGAAGTTGATAATATTTGTAAAAGACTTGTGGCACTTTTTAAACGTTACGAAAAAGTATTGTATTATTCACCTACTTCAACGGGTCAAATGTACGAATGTATCAATGGACAACACTACACAACGTGAATTAATTCAACATTCATAATTGCACTTTGTTCCTCTTCTTTGTCGTGGGGGAGGGGGGGGGGGTGATGAGTATGTCATTGGTAGTTGTTGAATTTGAGAGTTACTGCTTGTCGCAAAGCTCACCTCTATTAGTTTGTGAAAAATGAAAAAGAAGAAAAGAAAACCCCAACTTTTTTAGAATGTTGTAATTGATTTTTCACATTTTGGATTTTGTGAAAATAGAAAACAAGACTAGTAAAGGGAAATTAAAAAAACAAACAAGAACAATAATTTAAAGATAATATATAAGAATGAATAGACCGGCATGGATAAATAAATGTATTCATGAATAAAATATATAACGAATGAGTAAATAGATAAATAAGTACAATGGATAAAATAGCCCAAAGTTCGCTCTTGTTTCTAAAATGCATTTCTCAAGATTCGAGTGTATCTGTTAAACCTATTTCTTCCAAAGTGTGAAGAGAAAATGATGCATGTTCAGGTTTAGAGGAAGTCTCTTGTGTCCATACGTAATTTGATCAGAAAGCTGGCCCACTGCCAAGATAGAGGGAGGGAAAAAGAAGACGAGGGTTTGTTTTGTGCAATCGACATCATCTAATTATCTAGCGGATCTTTTTATATACAGTGTATATTTGCAAGTAACGAACAGTTTTTTTCTCATCTCTCTCTGTCTCTCTCTCTGTCTGTCTGTCTCTCTATCTCTCTGTTATATATACCCCCTCTCTCTCTCTCTCTCTCTCACGCTCACACACACCCACCCACACGCCCCACCTCACAATCCTTCCTTTTCTTTTGTAGATTACAGCTAGAACTAGAACTCGAACCAAAGATTTGAGTCATTAGGCATGGGCCTAACAGTGACCTTAGCCTAATTTCCTCGATTAAATAATTTTGTTTTCTACACTTTTTCCTCATTTTACGATTGAGGTTTTGTTGATCATTCGCTTACTATTTTTTCCGATACAAACGTAGTACGCAACAACAAGTGAAATGCAATCAATATTTAGAAATACATGTTTTAATTTAATTTCAGAGAAGGAGAGGGATGCACATATATGATTAAGAAAGAGAAAGAGAGAGAGAGAGAGAGAAAAGGAAGAGAAAGAGATGTAGGTAGAGAGAGAGAGAGAGAGAGAGAGACGATGATGAATAAAGAAAGAGAGAGTGAAAGAGAGAGTGAAAGAGAGAGTGAAAGAGAGAGTAAAAGAGAGAGAGAGAGAGAGAGTACACAGATTTTGAAGTGCATATCATGGACTATTTTTACAATCGCCATGGACATAAAAGAAAAGAACAGACAATCTAATATTGTTTATATCCATCCGGCCATTTCTAAAACAATACCATATAGTTTACCACAAAATGTAAAGAATGATGTAATTTAAATGCAAAATAATTTGTTTTTAGGACAGCTCTGTCCAATCACGTTATCATCCTTCTGTCGCTTTCGATGACTTCTTCTAGGCTGTGTTTTCGTTCAATTGATCACATTGGTCATTAATGATAGGAAACCATATGAACATTGAATATCATGTTTCGGAAACCATAAATATTACCTTTATATCTTTCTTTTTTGCAACAATTCGTCTGTTGATAATAATTCCCCCTTTTTCATCTGTTTTAATTCTTAATAATTTAGCAAGTCCTGTGACCCGTTTCGCAAAGCCTTTTCAATGACAAATGACAAAATCAGTGACAAATCTGCTGATTACCAATCACAAGCAAGGATTTCACTAGCTTATAGCAAAAACTCTCACTTCTCACTGATGACAAGGGCTACGTAACACGAAGCTAAATAACTTATCATTCAATTGATTATTGCAATTGATTACATTGATCTCTATGTCCAAACAATCGCAAACATAAATGTTACGATCAGTTGCTTAGCTTTCTTCGTATTGGGCTCTTCATAGGATTCGTATATTATGTCAAATAAAATTAAGTAGGTTATTGGTTTATACAACGAGTCTAAGATTTATTGTTATTTTTTTCTTTATCAAGCCGATACACGAACTCTGACTCTAATTATATAGCGATCATACTGATTCTCTCTTTTTTTTTTTGTAAAATGAATTTATTGATAAATATATGCTTTTGAACAAATCAAACAATCATACACAATCAATTGAAATAACATCGTAGCATCTTAACATAGTTTAAATAAAACATGTTTCGTTTTCTTGAATAACATTGTTTTTAAAAATGCATAGCTTTTTTGTTTTACGATCATATTGATTCGATTTTTAAAATTGTCTAGATATATTTTTCAAAATATTTTCCCTTTATCCATTGCCTTATCTTTCCAGGTCGTCAAGCTCATCAACTTGCTTCTAGTCTGCCATTTTCGAAACTGAGAGTGAATGAAAATAGGCCTACTTCCAATCTTGGACACAACATACCGGAATAAACGGTTTTGTCTTTGACTGACGGTTTATTAGCTGGCTTTGTATCAAAATTAGTTATAAGGGGATTTCCCCGAAAAATATTCCAGGAGAAGTGATATTGACGAGGAGGAAGGAAGGAATTAGGGAAGTGAGGAAATTTACGAAGAAAACAACTTGGCACCTCGTGTTCGTCTCTTCGAAATATCCCTTTACTGCGAATTATCATTATGCCAAATACATGACGTTATTATATCAGTGAAATATAATACCGATCTGTAAACGGAGTGAAGACAGAGAAATTGATAAGACAATGAACAGCGATTCAAGCTCTGTACTAATTAAGCATAAGTATTGAAACTAAAGTTGAATTCGAAGCAAGAATACTGAATATTGCCGATCGGAAGCTCGTGCAGTCTGGATAAAATAGGGTCTGTTTGAATTGATAGAAATTAAGAAATAAGGAAAACAAGAAGCAGAAGTAGAAGAAGACGAAGGAAAAAACACAAACACGACAAAACAGAACGAACGAACAAACGAAAAGACAGTTGCTTGTTTATTACGGAAGTCATCGACGTCGCGACAATGGGGAAGTCAAAGTCAAAAACAAACAGCATTGAATACGCCTCGGACAATATGAACGGCGAGGTCAAACTCAAACGCGAATTCGGACTCTTCGGAGGGACCTGTTTCATCGTTGGAGGCATGATCGGTTCGGGAATCTTCGTCTCGCCTGTCGGCATTCTTCGGGAAACCGAAAGCGTGGGAATGAGTCTCATCATCTGGCTTCTCTGTGCATTTCTAGCGCTGGGAGGTAAGTTTATTTGATTCTTTATTTATTATCAAAATTAAACTATTTTTTGGGGGGAGAGGTCTGGTCAAACTCACATTTGAAGTGTGTCGTGAATCTATATCTATACAAATAAATGAGAAATGAAATATCGTTATTATACTTCTTTTTTTACAAACACAGTGATGTTAGGCCTATGTGAAATAAACTATAAATTGTAATTCACTTTTAATTCATCTCTTTTTTTGTTGTTATAGTATTATTAAAACAAAATGTTGATGTCCCATGTTGAATTCAATTAATTTTATCTTTACCAATTATACTGACATGGAATCGAAATTGAAATATATAAAAACACGTCACTGTATAAACCATGATATCAGATTGTGTTGTACATTGTAAATGCACATAGATACATTTGTTGACTCACACTTCTACAAATGGAGCCCAGAGTGATAGACGTCACTATGGACATGAAGGACAAAGGAGAGGACAAAATGTACATTTCCTCATTCTACCCTCAACAATTGCTATGGTAGACAAAGGAACATCCCTTCCCTGCTATTATGTAAAAATGTGTAGAACAGGTGTCACATGCATATGCACTTATTCTACACACTTTTACACAATAGCAGTGAAGGGATGTTCCTTTGTCTACCACAGCAATTGTTGAGGGTAGAATGAGGAACTATATATTTTGTCCTTTTTCTTTGTCCGTCATATTCATTGTGCGTACTCCGTTGTAGGTGGTTCAAAGATATTTTACAACTTTCATAAAGAATATTTGAGAACAAAAACTTGAGGTGATATATCCCCATGTACGATGAACGAGCGAGTCGCCAGGAAACTTTTTTAAAGTTTGCCTCAATTCACCCAATTTATGTTTTCTCTTTGCCTTTTTTCCCCTCCTTCTTGATTCAATTTTTCCTCTTCCCTTTTCTGCATTTGTTCTTTCATTTCTGTTTCTCCTGCTTCGTTTGCTCCTTTCTCTTCTTATCATTCTTCTTTTACCGTTTCTCCTTCTGTTCTTCCAAACCAACATCATCTCACCCACCACTACACCACCTCGGCATCTTCACCTTCATTATCCAATACTCCACCACACCCCCCCCCCATCACCCAACCCCTATCACCCACCCCTATCACCATCACCACCTCCCTAATCACCACCAACACACCTCACCCCAACCACACACTACCATACTCCACCACCACCACAACCCCCTATAACTACCACCGCCACCACCACCACCATCATCATCCCCACCACCACAACCCCTTGTCACTACAACCACCACCACGAACAATAACAACAATAAAAACCACAACCTCATCATCCTCCATCATCACCGCTACCACCGCTACCACCAAACCCACCACACCCGTCATAGGTTCCCTCTGTTACGCTGAGCTTGGTACCATGATCCCCAAATCGGGCGGGGAATACGCCTACCTCTTGGAGGCCATGGGTGCGCTACCAGCCTTCTTGTTCTCCTGGACCTTCACCCTCGTGATACGCCCAGCAACGGTTGCTATCGTGTGCCTCATCATGGGTACCTACACCGCGGAATACATCACCAATAGTGATTGCGTTGATAATGATTTCTTGGCCCGGATATTCGCAATCATGGCACTATGTGAGTACATCCTTTCATAGTGATATAGAAATGACTCTAACTTGGAATAAGATAGGTTCTGTGATTCAAAAAATATAATTGAGAATTGGAATATAATGCCATATTTCACCAGTAAGAGAAAGGAGAAATGCAAAATACTCAGAAACATGATCGATTGTACAGTCACATTAACAGTAAATAGATACATTGATTGCGTGTATGTGCGTGTGTGTGTGTGTGTGCTCTCACCTCAGCATTCTTGTGGGGTTTTATGTGCGCTTCACATACCCCTTGTGAGGCATTTTTACTTTGTGGGGTATTTTTTCAGGACCCCACAGAGTAAAGTCTTTCAAATGACTGTATATTCGGTGTCCTATGCCCTGCGGGGCATTAGAAGTGGTACCCCGTAAATGACTTTTTGTGAGCGTGTGCTAAAACTTGCACACTTTTTTATGGTAACATCGTAAGCACACCGCCGGGTTGTTATCGCCAGGTTGTACATACCCCACTAGTAGGGGACCACAAGGTATATCTGGAACGCACAGAAATACCCCACAATCAGGTGCCCCACAAAGGCCCTGATGTGAGAATGTGTGTGTGTGTGTGTGTTGAGAGAGAGAGAGAGAGAGAGAGAGAGAGAGAGAGAGAGAGTGAGAGAGAAGAGAGAGAGAGAGAGACAGAGGAGAGAGAGAGAGAGAGACAGAGAGAGAGAGAGAGAGAGAGAGAATTATGACGAATATACATATGTACATGATTTATATACATATGTGTGCACTTTTATTACAATCCTGTAAATAAGAAATGAAGAAAGAGAGAGAGAGAGAGAAAAGAAGCTAGAGGAAATGAAATGAGGAAATAGCGAAAATGTCACGACAAGAAGTTATGAACAGAAGCATGATTTCTATGTGGTATTCAAGACGTTTAACAAGGCTATGAATGCACATCTGCTCAACCTATCATCTAAGTATATATATATATATATATATATATATATGTGTGTGTGTGTTCTCACAATGACATAGAATCTTTTTAGAAGTACAACATCCATTACTGACAATGGCATCAATAATTGCTTATGCCGTGTTTACTTTGCACTTTGCAGTGATCCTGACCTTCATCAATTGTACTAGTGTGAAAGCGGCCAATCAAATCCAGATCTGGTTCACCATTGCCAAGCTTATCGTGTGCGCAATCATCATTGTCATTGGCTTCATCAAAATCGGAAAAGGTATGTTCATACTTGTTTTTAAGACTGATAGTTGCAATTTATATGAACGCCTTTATTGCCTTCATCTATATCGCAAAAGTTATGTTCATACTTATTTTTAATACTGATAGTTGCAATTGATATCAACGCCTTTTCCATTGGAAACAACGCACTTTGATATGCCAACCATGAGCCAGTGTTAGAGTTAAAATATGTACAAGTAACCAGGCGGTGACAGTGTGAGTGCAATGAATGAATATGGTTTTAGAATAGGTATATATTATATACTTTCGAAACGCAACTTGTCATATTATAGACGCAATTGAATACAATATTGTGGGAATTTACAGTCAAGTGCAATCACATACAGTTAACAGCTAAAGTATTCATACCCTCACCAATTCTGTCATTGCTTAAGTATTAATACAAAACGATTTGTCCCGATTGACGGTTCTTGGGAATGAGACATATCAAAGCTTATATCTAAAAACATTCAACAAAGGCCCAAACTCAACCATTCCACCTTTTATTCGTGAGTCATGAACAACACAAAAGCATCACGTTTACAAGGGGTATGAATAATTTAGTTGTTAACGGTACCTGTTTATTTCTGTTAACGTGTTATGCCTGAAAGTGTATTGTTCACTTTCATTTATTTATTTATTTTCCACTTTCCAGCTAAAAACATGGTAGATACAAAATAATGTACATTTCATGAATTACAAAGGAATACATAAAGAAACAAAAATACACAGCAATAACAAGTAATTAACAAAAGGGGAAAGATGACTAAACATGGTACACGAGTATGCAGATTGGTAAATAAAAAAGCCAAAGTTAAACTGAGTTGCTTGTCAGGACGATCAGGACTATTGTAATCGGTATTGATTCTATTCTTAACAAGGAGGAGACAACATAAAGGGCGGTCGATATTGTCTGTTAAATATAGCACCTCCCGACGGGGTCTTCGTAACATACAAAAGGATCAAAGTCTTGTCGTCTCAACAACTCTTTATAATGTATAGGTGCAGTTCCATCCCATATCAAGTTATTTTTAAAGCTAATAATATATTCATTGAATTTTGTTTGATTGATGTACTACAATAGTTTTATTTCGACGTAATGATGTTTGACAATTTGTTTTGTACTTCTTGTTTTGCATGTGTTCTGTATATACATGTACATTTTTTGTATTTTTGTATTTTTGTTGTCGGGGGGGGGGGGGGGATTGAATATTTGTAATCATTAGACTGCGTGTTCAATGTTTTTTCCTCATTTCATCAGAATAAACAGAACCACCGACTCAATAATAACTAAGTAGTCACATCTCAAAACCAATTTGAAACCCTTTTTAGACGGATTGATCCTTGGCCGTCGATTTAATGTTTTGTTTGTTTGTTTGTTTGCTCTGGGTTTATCCAGTTTGGTAGATGTGACAAGGATAACAAATTGGCCGAATCGGGGTAATGTCTCTGATATAGGGGCTGACAACTCTCTCATTATTTTATTTCAACACTCGAACTCGCTTTTATTTGTTTAAACATTGTATGACTCAGGAGGGTTTTTTAGAGGACTGATAATACTGTAATATCCATAATATATTGTGTTAATATTACAGCAAGGAAGACTGGGTTTAAGGGAAAACAGCCATTTAAGATATTTTTGGTACATGGAAAATAGGAGAGATCTCCATTACTACGTCATAATCTAAAGATCAAATTGCCAATTGGAGATTTGCAAAGCTGTATCGATTGATTTCCTATTTCCACCATTCTTAACTTTCTTATTATTTTGTCGGATTATTCACACTTTCGTCGCATTGTTCTTCTCTCTTTCATGCGAATAAACTCATTCAAAAGTTTGGATTTCCCATCAAAAAATATTCATCCTTTTTAATTCTTTGTCATACACAGGTAATACGGAGTTCATTAACCCCCAGACATCATTTAAGCATAGCTCACCGGATGGGTTATCATACGCTTTGGCGTTTTATCAAGGACTTTGGGCGTATGAAGGATGGTAAGTAAGCCCAATACAATCTTAAAATAGCCAAAGCTAAAATGCCTTTATCTATCAGCATTCCGTAATCGATAACGGCTCGGATCGTTCTATACTCATGAATAAGCTGTCCACTTTAATCGTGTAAGACAAACGGTATAAGGCCAACATGCTTCGTCTTTACAAAGTCGTTGCTTCATTGTACCATTTTCAATTGAAAATTGTAAATAGCATTTGTGTCTTTGACGTAATGTATTTTTTTGCGATTCATGCTAATATTAAATACATACAATTAATTAAACGTTTGTTTCCAGCAAGACTATTTCATTTCATAACAACAAAGCGTCAAGTAGTACAACAAAAAGAAATGTGGTAAATTTAAGTACATGTTTTAGATTTTAAATGTCTTTATACAAATAAAAATATACCTTCTATTCGAAACTGAAGGACGCATTAATGTGGAATGTATATGGTACAAATTAGTAAGTATTATTGTTTTATGAGACACGAAATATGCATTTATAATAGCAAGCATCCCAATTATTAATAACAATTGCATTAAAAGAAACATACATCACATCAGATTATGAGTATGCATTCTCTCTTTATCCATTAGTGATTGATTGCTTTTGTTCTTTGTGATACAGGAGTTTTCTCAATTCTTTGACAGAAGAGTTAAAAAATCCGCGAAGGTAAGGAGATTTTTTTCCATGATACATTTGTGTTTGAAAGTGACCCCCCCCCCCCCCCCCCACCCCCGTCCTCCGGAATACTTTATATGACTGTGGAAAAATGAACTATGGATTACTGCATGGCTATAACAGCAACTAAAAACGTTGAAGCCAACTAGTGATAAACTGAAATAACGGCGAACACTACAAATAAAGAAACCCTTTTTTATGTTTTTTCTTTTAGGAAAGGTAAGCTAAAGACAGTTTGTGAAAAATAGATTTGTCCAGATTTACTGTTCGTAAGAATGTGACTTATGAAAGCTTACATCGAAAGTATTCAACAACGAACAAAAAAAAATCATCAAATTTAGACGGTTGTTAACTGACTGTATATGAACAGCACAACTTAAATCTGGAATCTTGAAAATCGCCACTTATGAAATATGTGTATTTTTCGTTATCAATATATCATCTGGGTTTTTTGTTCATGTAACTTGCACATTCACTGTTGTCCCACAGTGATTGACTGTTTCAGATGGATGTTAATGCATTTACATGATAAACTCATACATTATTTTCTGATGATAAGCAACACCTTACTATTGTTAATTCTGCCAAAATTGTTTTTGTCTCCTTTCAGAAATCTTCCATTATCATTGATGATTGGGATTCCTTTCGTTGCCTTGGTATATATCTGCATGAATATCGCATACTTCACCGTCATCACTCCAGAGGAGATGTTAGCATCGAAGGCAGTCGCAGTCGTAAGTATACACTATATAAATCCTCAAAAAAGTTAGCGGGGCTTTGTGGCGTGCGCCTGTAATCCAGCTAACAGTGAAAGTTACATACTGCAATTGATTCAGTCGAGGACGCAGGTTCGAAACTGACTCATGTCTTTCGGATAGTGACATTAATGACGTTATTTAATGCTTATATGTACTATAGTTTATAGGAGGGATTAGACCACCCCGCAATGTCACTGGACAGGTGGTTATCTCATCAACTCAGATCTCACTTAACATAATTAAAAGAGGATCACGGGGACCAATGGTCACCGATTAGGCATTGTTTTCTATATAGAGGGAGCAAGTAGCTACAAGTAAGACAGTGTAGCTTTAAATGATACACGTCTGGTAAAACCCAATACATGAACCTGGTATGAACCCGATGTGTATGTAATCATGGAATGCGCAGTACACCTAAATAGGTGACCAAGACAGTCAAAGTGAGATCTTGCAAAATGCATTGTTAGTCATTCAAAACACAATCCATCATCCAAAGAAATGAAGTATTTCCTGTTGACAATGACAACGATTTTTTGCGATATTTCACTTTTTGACCTGGCCCAGAGTCAGGTGTACCATGAGTTCATAATCATTACAAATGGGGCATCGTTGTAATAGAGAATAAACAGGCTTTCCAATGGTATTTATTGTATTTTAATACAATAACAAAAAAGATACAATACAATAACAAGAGAGATATCATCGCTGAAGCTTGAATATCTTACCTTTTTTGTGAAGAGTTTATTTCTATTTCAAGGAATCTTGTTCTCTGCCATTTTGTTTTGAATTATGAGATTCAATATCTTTTATTCTTGAAATGATGTTGAACTTTTGCTTGAGACGGCTGGTTCCACCAGATCACCTAAATTCTTAACATGTATCTCCCCTTCTCCTCCCCCCCCCCCCCCCCAACGCTCTCTCTCTCTCTCTCTCTCTCTCTGTTTCCCTGGGTATATGCTGCATGCTACATCATTATCATTATCTTTATATTGTAGTATAATATTTTGCTCTCCATTTCATAAACAAATCGTGCCATCGCTACGTCATTGAAAACAAAGAATCAAAACGTTTTATTAAATATCAATATGAATCACTAAACCACAGATTCTCGGTTATCAGTTTGTTTTGTTATTTTTCTGTTTTGTTCGTGTATATGTTTTTTTTTGTGTGTGTTGATAGAAGGGTCCATAGTAAGACAATCTGTAGAGTCTTATACTGTTTAGCTACAAGGCTCTCTTGTGAAACATATCTTTTATTCACGGAATGAAACTGCACTAAATTAGATCAGAAGCCAAAATAGATATGATAGATATTGTTCTCTCAATGTTTTCAATTGAAATGTAAAAGGCGTATCACTATCAAACGACTGATTGGTAATTCTCTTTTGTATACCGACATCTGCCACCCCTCAATATCACGAGTTTTGTATTTTTTTATAATCTAACCTGGAGTTGCCCTCCATTAGCATCCCCCTTTACAAATGTGTGGGAAATGAAAGAAATTCTTATTTCCAGATTTCCATTTCGGGCCCATAAAATAATTGCATTCCAGGCATAACTTTATGGTATTACGATAGAAAATGGAAAACGTGTACACACAAAAGAGCAACCTTGAGAAAGGGCATGAATCGAAAAATTATTATCCTGTCGGTCGTATACATGTATTTGTATTATTCTGTCGGTTGTGCAAGTGCGGTTTTTTTCTTTTCAAATTCATTCAGAAACGTTTTATTGTCTGTTTTTTTTTTTGGCAGACTTTTGCACACCGCACAATGGGTGGTTTCGCTTGGATAGTTCCGGTCGGTGTTTGCATGTCAACTTTTGGAGCAGCGAACGCGAGTTTGTTTACAGCCGGGAGGTAAGTCAGATGAATTTGATAATAATAACAATTATCTATTTTCGTGTTATCCCAACTGACCTACTTTTAAAAGCATATCTTACTTTAAAAAAAATTGCACCCGGCTTTTTACTGACCTAACCTATATTGCTATAAGCAGTTTCGGTTATACCATCTGCGCATGGGCAGATAAAAGTGTACCATTCTGTAAAACTCGCCGAGACGAAAAAACTATCCTCTTATTTTCTCACTGTTTAGTAGGTCTAAGTATCATTATATGTTTTTTTCGCAGAATACTTTGAGATGTGTTCGTTTAATTGCCTTATTGTTGATATATCAACCACTTAAGTTTATATATTTTGAAATATATTTCGTATACAACTATAAAGGAGTAATACCGACGAGAATGCATCGCTAGAGGATTTGTTTTGCATTTTCAGGATTGATAATTATGATAATAATATTAATGATAACAATAATGATAATGATAATAATAATTTAGTTATTCTTATTCACTGAAAGTGGATTTTTTTCCTGTGATAAAATGTCTAATTTCATATACAAATTTTATACCAATCATAAAACACCCAAAATTCAAAGTTATACTTTATTTGTAATTAAATCGAAAAACTTGTATTATTGCTTGTTGCAGGTTACCCTTCGTAGCAGCAAGAGAAGGTCATATGGCTCAGATTTTGGGCATGGTACATGCAAAGAGACTTACACCGCAACCTGCAGTTATGTCCGTGGTAAGTTAATCATCAAAAGAGTCCTGCCTCTCCTTTTCCTCCTCCTCCGCCTCCTCCTGCTTCTCCCATGAAAAAAAAAAAAAAAAAAAAAAATTGTGCTCTGTACCCCCCCCCCCCCCCCCCCCCCCCCCCCCCCCCCCCCCCCCCCCCCCCCCCCCCCCACTGAGCGACTTTTCGGCCGGCGCGATTTTCAAATTTTCGGGAGCAAAAAAAAAAAAAAGTTGGGCCCCCTCCCCTAAGAAATCCTGGATCCGCGCCTGGCTTCTCCTCACCATCATCATCATTCTTGATTTTGATTATTATCAGTAGTAATATAAGTCATATATCATCATCATCATCATCATTATCAATATCATCATTGTCACTAGTATTGTAGTCAACGTTGATATCACAATCATCATCAAATCTATTGTCATAAAAGTATTAGTTGTAGTAAAAGTGGAAGTAGTAGTAGTAGTAGTAGTAGTAGTAGTAGGAGTATAAATAATTGTAACAGTAGTACTAAGATGGAGAGTATTATTGTTTTCATTACAATTTGTTATGTTCTTGTTATTTTGGGTGTTTTTGTCATTATTGTTCTTCTTGTTTGTGTTATTATCATTATTCTTATCATCATTATTATTGTTAGGAAAAATATTATTAATATTATTATTGTTTATTATTATCATTATTATTATTATTATTATTATTATTATTATTATTATTATTATTATTATTATCATTCTCCTTATTCTTGAGACTCCCTCCTTCATGTCTGTCACCTTACTTTGATACTACTTAAGTCGGGGTAATAATATCCAAAGTCCTTTGGAAGTGCATAGAAACGTCAGATAAAAATATAATATGCGCTACAAGGACGGCATATATCACTATTATCATAACACTCTTAGCAATCAATAGTCTGTATAATAATATAAATATGCATTTTCTTACGATAGACGGCGATCGCCTTGGCTTTGATCTGTATTGGAGACTTCAACGGACTTCTCAACTACTTTAGTTTCGCTGTTTGGCTTTTCTACAGTCTCACTGTGTTATCCCTAATGATGATGCGATATACACATTCTCACTGGGAACGCCCCATTAAGGTAAGGGATTTTTTTTTAATTATTTCAGGGCTAGATTGATTACTTTTTTTTCCAAAGAAATTTTTTTTCAATCATTCTTGAGCAAGAACAAAACAATACATTTGAACTAAGTACATGTTGTGACATATCGGTAAAACAAACATTGTTACAATAGTTGCACACGTCTCCATTTATCAAGTAATACAACGAATTTTAGCCGTTCCCTTTTGTATTTCGCAGAGGATAGTGTTTTGCATATAAAATGACAAAATTAAAGAGAGATTGCGTACCATCTGGGATCAAATTGACAACAGTATACAGGCAAACCTGCGTTAGTGACCACTTGTATAGAAAGACCACCCGTCTAGAAGGACCACAGTTTTGTTTCCCTTGAAAATGGTTTCTTGTTGAAACAATGTACCATTATAGGAACCTGAACATAAAGACCCCCTGCCTATAAAGACCACTTTTCTTGTCTTCCTTGGTTGGTCTTTATAGACAAATTTCACCATATATTAAACAGTAGAATGCACAAGAGGCGTGGATAAAACTATTATCAACAACCTTACTGGTTATAGATTGTTGATTTGAGAATTAGTCCACTTCAGTAATAAATGTTGACTACAAATATGTTGTTTGAAAACTAGTTCTGTCTTCCACAATCAGGAGAAAGAAAAAATTACCTGTTAGGCAATTTGTTAATCTTTTACTTGCCGTCGGCTGCAAGCTTGTTCAGACCTTCGTAGGCCACAAATAATCCTACTTCAAGGTAACATCTCATTTTATCATGTCGTTGCAATAGCGCTAGCTACGACGCAGATTCACCGCAAGTGAAAACAAGTAAAAAAAGATTAAAAGAAAAGGAAAATAGTTAATCTTCTTACTGATTGTGAAGTAAGAAATATTTTTCAAGTTGCACCACCAACCAGAAACCTGAGGGAAAATCATGCACTTTCTAAAAAGGAAGGCAAGAAATACTTTGTGCGTCCACATTTATTGTTAATTTATCTTTCAAGTATTCATGCAGAAATTTCACTTTAACACAATCGCAACTACCTTCTATCAAAATAAATCAAAATGTCAATAGTCTTGCGCGTCACACGTTGAAATGTTCGAACATCACAATGAATTAAAGGGAGTGTATCATATGGCAAATACCGGTTAACGCCATCCCCGTCTTCTTTTGGACAACTGCACGTAAACGAAAGGATGTTTAACTGGGTCAGCGCGCGCAAGCGTTAGCGAAACAGACGGAAGTTCTCCTCACGCTTCGGTTTCGCGTATGTTGCACGCACGTGAATGCTGCGGTCGCATCGTCCGAAGTCGTATTATACCCGATTGGGCCCGAGTAGGCCCACGGGAAAGACACAAAGTCTCGTCATGACACACTCCCTTTAAAAGGTAATCCTATCGTAGTTTCTACCGAACATACGAAGGGGTATTGGAATGTGTAATCTTTTAAGAATTTTAAAAAGTAACAATTTGTATTTTTTCTTCCTTTGATGCACACAGGTTCCCATCGTGATACCAATCATCTTTTTCTGTGCATCCCTCTATCTTATCTTCGCCCCAATCATCAACACACCTGAGATCGAGTTCCTCTACGCGTTTATCTTCATCGTATTCGGCATATTTGTCTTCTTTGTCTTTGTGTGGTACAAGCTCCAAGTCAAAGGAATGGGTAAGTTCTCCTTTAAAGGGATCCGGTAACTTTGTCTTCGATCCTTTAAAAAAATGCTTGATTTAGCTCATGCTGCAATGATAATTATATACCTTAAGGTCAGTCAGGAACCCCATAACTTTTACAAGCCGATAGACTGTCTGATTATCCAGATATTTATGATTGAAAATCGAAATCTAATTTTGCGTTTGACAAACGGTTTTGATAACACTATAGTCTATTAGGGAAAACGAGTATGGTAAAACCGGTCAATCAAAGGTTTTTACTTTTTTGAGGCACTTCTTGATCATTTTAAAGCGCATTTTTCGTAGGGCTACAGTATAACACCATATCACAGACACTGATAACACGTAGAACCGTGCATCTCAGATTTAACATTGTTAAACGATCCCTTTAACACAAATGGCCTTAGTTATACCATAAATTAGCATAATTTCTGTACCCTTGTACATAAAATGTTTGGTTTATATGCAAGTAGAAACAAAATCATAAACGAAGTATTATTTCGCCATAGTATTAATCCTTGTTCAGATATCCCCCACCCCCCAATTTTTGTTATATTTGTGTATATATTATTTTTAGTAAGTGGCAGTTTACGGCGTCATGAATATCATCTGAATAAACCTTCGGATCACCCTCAAATTTACAATGTCGCAAATAAAAATATTCTAATACTTAATCCATATCCATGACTTGAACAATTGAATAAGGAGGAGACAAAACAAAAAGAAGAAAGGAAAATAGTTACAGAAATTAGTTTGTGAATTTTTGCTACAATGAAGAACAAACGTCTACAAATTGAGTAAATAAATTCAAATGTTAATGTCTTTTTTTTTATTTCTCTATCTATTCTTTAACTCATAGATTCAATGACGAAATTCCTGCAGAAGTTGTTATATGTTATCCCTACCAGCTATAATGGAAAAGACGACGAGCAGAAGACACCATTATGAGGAAAAGAATTATCGCAAACCATTAAAATTCTTTAAAAAGATAGATTCGACAGTCAGAAAATCCAACGAAATTTCTCTGCAGAGTGCAGACAGTTCTATGGGCCTAATAATATAATCACTTATATAAGGACCTATATAAGAACTATGTGCACGTGGAAAACAACAGTTTACATCTAATGCAACAATAAGCACACAAAGAATATGAAGGAAAAAAATGATTAAAGATAAAAATAAATCACACTATACGTGATTGTAACCCTGAGACAATGAAAATTCACTCTATTTTCACTCTCCAGAGAAGTAAAGTTTTAGTGACCACTCGATTTTTTTTTATTACCAATGTTGGAAGTTATAGAAGTGCGCAGTGTTGCCATTTTGCGAGATACCACCGTGTAATTTGTGCCGTGGAATTATGTTCGTGAATTGATGAGCATTATCCGTCCTGTACATATTTCAGAGATATATTTTTGGTCGTAGTACAGGGTGTGATATGAAAGAGCAATATGAATTATTATTAATGGTTTTTAGGTATTCATTACATGTAAAATGAGCCTAAATTCAAATAAAATCCCCCTTTTTTCATGGCCTTGAATACAGTGATAAAACCTTAGAAATGAAGGAGTTAGTTTCTCAACTTTTTTTTAAAATTCTAAGTTAGCAGCGTCACCCAAAAATTATATTTACAAAAACATCTGTTTACGCCTATTTGTAAATTAATTTTATAATGTCTTAAAATCTTCTTAATTCCCTTTGAAAAGGTACACGCGATTTCTAACCTCACTAAGTTTACAACATGTAATATTCATTTGTGCTTGCTACTTTGTTTTGTCACTGATGATAATGCCATTTCTTTTCCATTGCCAAAATGGTTATGTTATGGTCTACTTATGTTGGTGTAAAGAAGTATACTACAAACAAATAATGACTGATTTGAGGGGCGCATTAAAAACTATTGCCAAAGATAATCTCAAAGCTGTACTGTACGAAAGGAAGACGACAAAGAAGAAGAAACAAAGTGGGAAAAGAAGAAGAAAGAAGAAACTGGAAAAGCCTAGCTCATCTGCACTAGTGAACAGGAGGGATTAGACCACGCTGCAAGGTCACTGGACAGGTGGTTATCTCATCAACTCAGCTCTCAATTGACATAAGAAAAAGAGGATCATGGGGGGACCAATGGTCACCGACTAGGCATTGTTTTCTGAATAGAGGGCGCAAGTAGCTACAAGTAGTAAAGTGTGGCATTAACTTAATCTACCTTTTCGTTCTTCCAACCCTGCATCATTCTTGTGTTGCCAATTTAGAAAACACAAAAACAGTAAAGAGTACATCTCAAAATAGATTGGGAACGTGTACACTGACTATTAGCCAAGTGGGCCGACACCCGCATGTACTATGAAGAATATGTACATAATATATATTATATAAATGCATTCCTGCAACGGTTGTGCGACTCCTTTGGCAGGAAATGCCAGTAGAAAGTTATGTTACATCATGTACATAATCTATATAATCTAAATAGAGATCATGTCAAAGTACAACAGATTTTTTTTACTGAATATTACTGCTGCATGAAATATCATTTATTTGGCGTAATTTCGTTGCATTCATTTTACATCGGAAACAGGGGAACTATATCATTCTTGAAAACTTGTATATTGTCTTCCAAAGTTATCATTCTCTTCGATGTGCGAATAATCGATCTTGATAATAGTTAGCATCCAAAACGTACGGTACTATATACTCGACGCCGTGTGGGCGCCATTTTACCACTCCTCTTATCCGCAGGGGCTTTACCTTTTGCGGATTATGTGAATCAATGGGCTATCCATGTAAATATTGTGATCAATGGGTTTTATTTATTTCCCTTATAGGTGCTCTTTGTACAGGTTATTAAAAATATATTTAAGTGGGCTTTGAAATTGTTATACTGTTATTCGTCATTATATTATACCGACAATTTCGGCACCTTTAATTTTTAAACCATTGTTTTAAGAAATGATGTACAGGTATTTATTAATAAATGTATGAATGTTTGCCTTTATTCCAGTGTATTTATATTTGTATTCGCACAAAGTGCTTGATGCTTGTTTATCATATAATACGTATAATTGTGTTATGTATTACATGCATGTGCATATATTATATACATGTATACGGTATCTTTTTGATGACGTCAGTGCGGTGAATGGCTTGCAATCATTGCAATGGCAGTTCTGTAATAATGATATCAATTGGTCTGGCAATTAAGTGATTGTTAAGACCAGTAACTTAAAATCGCATTCGCAAAAAGCTCAAAGCATGTACATAGATGAAAACCTTGCCTGTGTTAATGTATGTATTTCATTGGATGATATCGGTGTGTTGTCTGTTAATGACCAGCAAATTTTTGCAAATAGCTCCAAGCATGTACGTAAAAGGATACCTTGTCTGCGTGTGGAAATTCTGAAATATCAGAACTGAATATACTATTGCATGGTGTAAATATTTGACGATGTGTCATACATACACATACACCTAACCGGGCAGACATATAACTAGATTTCTTATTGCTCATTCATATGTTTGCGATATATTACAGAACAAATGTTGTTATCAACGTAAACATGGTGTAAATACTTGGCGATGTGTCGTACATAAAAGTACAAAAAGTACACCCTTCGTAATGTCCTCTTTAACCCCCCTCAAAAAAGTAATAATATTTATCATAATAATATATGTATATGGCTGGTGCAATGAAATTAATATTTATTGTTTCAGATATGTTAATTGTCCAATTGGTAACTGGAATACATTTTAATGATATGATCAAGTCATCATTTGTAAATTGTTTAAATCTAGAAATGGAAATGATTTATAATTCGATGTACACTATCTAGTGTAAAATCCCCCGAAGCAAATGTAATATATAGGGGTGTATGCTGTATATAAAAACAAGTGATAACATTTGTGAATTGTGAAGCAATAAACATTGGGATTCACTTCCAATTAAAGTAAGATGTTTGTGATGTATGCGATAATGTATGTATACATTACACACCAGTGCCCCCTTCCAAGTTATGCGCGTTATGATAAATGTATACATTCATAAATGTATAAATATATTTGGAAAATCAATCTTGCTTTATAATAAAAGTGTCATCCAAAGTGAACTGTTGTTTGTCAAACGTTTTTCTCTGGTATCGGTCAACGAATGGAAAGAATACATGAATAGATAGGGAAAATAATGACAACATTTTATATTCGACAGAGAGAAACACTGAGACAGAGACAGAGACTAGGAGAGGCAGAGTGAGAAATAGAGAAATAGACAAAGAAAGAGAGAGAGAGAGAGAGAAAGAAAAAAAAAAGGGTTGGGGAAAAATAATTCAGATCAGACACAAAACATATTCACCAAATACACCGAGTCCCAGAAACCATGATTTTATTAACTTTATCTACTGGAATGAAGTTCGGATAAAAATAATAAAAATGCAAGAAACAAGGAAACATTATATTAAGATGAAAAACCTTCACATATTCTGATTAATTGGCCGTTCAAATAAGTGAACCAGGCTAATTGTCACGACGACAAAAGATATGGGTATAGTGGGGGGGGGGGGGGGGGGGAGGTAAGAAAAATATGAGGGAGGGATAACGATAATTTTAAAAAGAAAAAAATGGTAGGTCCACTTCTGCATCTCCGATCGTTCAGATATGACGAGGTAAACCGCTGAAAAAAAGGGGGGGGGGGAGAAAAAAAAAAGGCAAATATATTTTTAAAATACACGCCGTGGTATTTTTGTACGTGTAAACGATTGGCTACTGCACGCATCAAAGGTCATCTGCGTAATCGTTTAGCTCGGTGTTATAAACACAAACAAATGAATTAGAAGTTACGAGATACAGAAATCAATGTGAAGCGTATCGAACTTTACGACATCATTACAATATAAAAACTGTCGCGTCATATTTGAAAGAGATTTAATTCGCATTTCATTGACCATGTAAGCCTGGTGCCCCTCCAGGAAGTCTGCCCCCCCCCCTCATAGCTTGAACGGGGCTACGCCTCTACCTCGATGCAACACGTTTCCCCGTGCGATAGAGTATACAAGGGAGATTCTCCGTCAGCTGAAGACCAAATGACGTTCAGCGATAGAAGTGTGTGAAAGCTCCCAAAAGAGTTTCAATCGAAGGAATCATGTATATTGATAGAGAAGTAAAAAAAAAAAAAAAAAAAAAAAAAAAAAAAAAAAAAAGAGAGAAGCGATTTCTTTGTTAGGTAAAATATTGCAAATGTGAACAGAATCGATTCATTTATAGTCTCTTTTTAATGTTTATATCTGATTTAGAAAATTTCAAAAAAAACATATACTTAAACTCGGGAGTCTGTACATTCAAATTCTTACCACAGGAACAAAATAATTGCTTTTCATGAAATTCAATTCATATTTCCTGATTAGACATAAAAAAGCTTTAGCTTCTTTGGGAAAGCAATGTTACTTCCTGTAAGTAAATAAGCTATTATTTGAATTTGTTAATACTATTTGAAATATTTGGAAAATAAGTGAAAGCCAAGAATTAAAACTAACAACCATTGATAGGCGTTTGCTTATTCTATGGATATGTCTCAGAGTTGATTAAGTAGGTTCTATGGTCTTGTTTTGCATGTGGACACCTTGTTACATGGTGAATCACCAGGCTAGCGGTTTGAGTTTAATTCAATTTCAACTTTAATTTACTCATGTTTCCAACAAAAACACTACAAATCAATTATAATCATTCAAAACAAATATATAAATACATGTCGGAAACAGAGGGGTCCACAAAATAGCAAAGCTTGTACAAGTGTGAACATCTCAAATGATAATGTCCTTTGGTAAGTATTTATTTGCGTTTGCCACTTTCCACCCCGGTGTAGTAATGGATACACGGTAGAAAGAAATTCGTTTAATTCTTGACCGCCTTTTTCATGTAGGCTCGACTAAAGCCGGGGTAAAAGCCGAACCGGGTTGGCCAGCGCCTGCAGCGCCTGCAGCGCCTGCAGCGCCTCCTGGAGCTACAGTTATCAATAAATCCTACTGGGGCCCGTTTCACAAAGCCTTTTTTTAATGACAAACAACAAAAATCAGTGACAAATCTGCTGATAACCAATCAGAAAAAAGTATTTCAGTAGCTTAAAACAAAAACTGTCATTTGTCACTGATGACAAGTTTTGTGAACCCCCCCCCCAATTATGCTACTCGTGGTTAAATTAGGCAAACTATTATATTATCATGAATTATTAATCAACAATTTCTAAATATTAAAGAATACCACAAACGTTGAAAGAATTTCATTATCAAATATCATGCACCATACGACATCAAATGAAAATCAGAAGTATAAAATGTCTTCTGCATTTTTACAAATATCACCCTCTTTTATCATTCTGAACTTTATCATCTTATTTAGTACAGTTTATATCAAACTACACGCTGGTAGAAAAATACACCGTATAAAATGATTACTTGTTATTGCGTTGACACACTGATTTTACATTAAACCATCTTTCTTTTTTTACTACGCAAAACGCTTCTACCTCTAAAATCTACTAAAAAGGAACAAATGAACCTAAACATGGAACGCATTTTGTTGGCAAGAAGTCATTTTGTTGAATGTACAAATTTGTTCACACGGCAGATAACGTCACATAGCATGTCATGCGGTTCGACATTTCTTATATATGTTTAAAGGGGAAGTCCACCCTGAAATTAAGTTAGTTTTAATAGGAGTAGAAAAATGAGAGAAACAAGTCAGTGAAAGTTTGAGCAAATTCCGATTAAAAATAAGGAAGTTAGGATTTTTGAAGTTGTGATCAATCAAACACAAATTGGCAACTCTATGACGTATCATGCGAGCTCAACTTCCATTTGCTCAGTACTAAAAAAATCAAAAATTTTCATTTTCCCTCAAGACAAATTTCAACCATACATGCATTCTAAATATAATAATTGCAAATATGTTTTTATACTCCCCCTGCAAGGAACAAATATATATTCCGTCATCAATAACGAAAAAAACATGATTTTATGGAATATTATGCACAAAGCAAATGAAGGAGAGCTCGTATAATAAGTCACAGAGTTGCCAATTTGTATTTGATTGATCACAACTTCAATAATTCATAACTTTCTTATTTTCATTCAGAATTTGCTCAAACTTTCACTCACCTGATTTTCTTATTATTCTGCCTCTATCGAAACAAACTTATTTTTGGGGTGGACTTTCCCTTTAAACACATCTCTTCAGTTTAATCTAAAACAGCTAGGCAGAGCAACTCATTATCTGTTCTTACAGAGGCTTAGGCTTAATGAAGATTATCCAGTTCTAATAAGTCCTTTGGAGCCGTATTACAAGGAGGTATAATAGATGTTAAGCCTCGGTCACAAATGCCATTACGAACTGCTACGAACGCCGTACGAACGATTTTCAGACAATGGAAATTCGGGAAGACAATGGAAAAACAGGGAGATTCGTACGAAATTTTCGTTCGTACGAACCTTTGTGACCGTAGCTTTACTCACAAGCATACACATACTTTCTTAGTAGGTAATGCTACGGTCACAAAGGTTCGTACGAACGATTATTTCGTACAAATCTTCCTGTTTTTCCATTGTCTTCCCGAATTTCCATTGTCTGAAAATTGTTCCTACGGCGTTCGTAGCAGTTCGTAATGGCATTTGTGACCGAGGCGTAAAACAAACAAAGACATTATGCGTGGCTATTATACAGTGTAGCAAATTCATCACCAAGCTAGTAAACGTATTTTACTATTTTCCTTGCCAGAGGTGAATTGGTATCACGATGCTAAAATAATCGTAGTAGATACATGTATATACAATAGTAGCTTAACCATAATGACGTCGCATAACTTTCTACATCATTTTTACATCACCCATTAAAAATATTTTACACAATACAGCATATATTATAATACAGAGTTGCTTACATTATATTCGCTCGTGGTCAAGGTTACTGGTTCCAAACAACAGAGCATGCGCATGAGGTTCGCTGCGAAATCATTCAAGAAACCGCTGGAGCATGGCAAATTCGTACTGTTTGGTGCTGGTTTTCATCATCATCACGCCATTGTTTAGCATAAAATTGTTTTGAAATAGTAACCTTGACAACTTGGCCAGTATAACGTCACGCGTCGATAGTTAAATCTGTTGGGCTATAATGACATAAAATGGACGACCAGCGTCGGTGGAATAAATACTCAGATAATTATAACAAGCACAGGGTGACTACACTATACACAATTTACATGTGTAAAACAACCATTATTAGAAATATCATAATTATAAAATCAAGCATTACGTAAACAAACTGACTGAGTAATAGGTTACTGTACAAATTATGTGAGAATATTTCTAATACAAAGAGCTTCGTCTCATGTGCGTGAGCGTGTGTGTGTGTGTGTGTGTGTTATGTGTTGTATGTTGTGTGTTTATTTTATTCAATTGTATGTTATTGTTTGTATGACACATTTGGGGAAATAAGACAAAATTGCTATGAAAAAAAGGTGTGGTTAGGCCCGTATTACTTCACATCATGAAATCATGACATACACAGTGGCGTACCCCCCTCCCCCCCCCCCCCCCCCCCCCCCTGCGTACGCGCATGGACATAAAAAATGTTAAGTTATGAATATAGTTATGTTTGGTAAACATGGCAAATTTATAAATACCCCATTTTCCAAAATGCGTTTGACGATGTTTTAAAATTATCTTTGAATAGTTTAACTGTCCGCGCATTTATAAACAAGTGCGGACACCGGAAGGGGATGATAAGATGTTTGTGTAAACATCTGGGGACCGACCTTTAACGTCACCACCCGAAAGACGTGACTCAGTTTTGATCTGGGAGACCCGAGCCAGTTTGTAGGCGGAGATAGAGAGCTAAGTGACCAAGTGAACGTGCCAGTAGACCAACTCACACCTTTCTGAGAGGGGCATTTAGCTCATATTTTTATAGTTAATATAACCCTTCCCCCGCAAGCCACAACATTCCCATGCTCAGATGTAAATGGCACATGCTATGTTCTGGGCCTGATTAAAAAGAGTTACCAATTTTAGAGTAACATAATGGTGGTTGAGTGAAGAGTGAATCAAATGTGCGTACTCTAGAT